TTGCTGCTCGATTGCTGCTCGATTCTCCGTTTTCTTTTAGTTGAAATCCAAACTCTTCAGCAAACAAGAGAATCTCATTCTCTCCAAGCGTGCCTCATCTTGTCGCGCTGTCTCCAAATGGTCGGCTTGATTGATTTCATTTCATTTGCTACAACGCGGTTTGTCTCGATAAAATCAATGGATTATCTCAAGTGTAACCAATGAGTCTGCTTTAACATGATGAACTACTGTGAGGTCTGACACTCCACTATTTACAGAAACAACCAAAGTAAATTTAAACCGCTACAGTGCACCTCTTAGAGAATGATGGAAAGTCCCAGCAGCAGCCGTGAACCCACCCATAGCTGGCCCTGGTGCTCCTCGGCTGCCTGGCCGACTGCTGCCTCCTGTGTGCCCCCCAGGCTCAGGGGAAGTGGGGAGGCCCTCAATGCCCATTTGGCCCTGGCTAACAGGGGATGAGGTCACTCCAAATTCCCCTTATCCCCTTATAGCCCCAGACGGGCTGGCGAAGTGAGCCTACCACAGGACCCAACATAAAACATAAATGGCTCTGTAAAAAGCTGCTGGGCTGATGTGACTCATTAAAAAACACTGGCGCCAACTCTTTTATTAATTCATTATTGTGTTTGGGGAGAGTAAAGTTACTGGGTTCTATTTTAAAAGGCTCTGTCTCTCTCTGCACTCTCTAGTTTTTAGTTTTTTTCTTTTGTGTCTCAGTTTCTTTCTTTCTGTCTTGGTTTCTTCGTTTCACGACACATGTTCATACATATAGCAGCACCGCAGTTTATTGGGATTAGGTAGGATTCTCCGCTTGGGTAGGGTGGCTGGAAACTCAATTACAGCTTCATTTTTGTTTTAATTTACTGTCATTTGCTTATGTGGGAATAAAAAAGTCACATGCATACAGCCCTACTCTCTTCCCTTTTTTTCTCACACATCTTATTTTTTCTCTGTATTCTCCTCTCTTCTCCCTGCACTCGCAGACAGATTTCGCTGCCTTTATGGGGCCTGGTTTGAGTTCATGAGGCAGATACCCAAAACGGGCTAAACGCTGGCCAAGTACATACTCATAACACACATGCATACACACACAC